CCCCAAAACCCCAAAACCCCAAAACCCCGTATATTAAGGGAATTATAGAATTTTTTGATATAGGGTTCATGGGGTCCGGAAATAGTAATTTAGTGGTAAGGAAGGGAATTGGAAGGGGTAATGAGGGGTTTAGGATGAGAATGGCAATAAAATGACAAAACAGCAGATTAAAGAGTATAAGAGACAGCAAAAGGAAGCTAAGAAGGTTGAAAAGATAGCTCAGAAAGCGCATAAATAAAGCAGAGAAACAGGCTAAGAAAGAAATGAAAAAGAATCTCACAAGAGCTGAGACAACTAAAGTTTTTGTAAAGGGAAATCCTCTCAGTACACAGGATTTAAAATAAGGCTGCAATAGCAAAAGAACACTTAGGGCTTCTAAAGAAAAAGATCAATAATGAATCTACTTTTAGTTCAAAATTCCCAGGACCATCTTCAAGGTTTGATATCAAATGTCATAAATTATAGAACGAGTGGGAACAATTGGGCTACAGATAGAAGTCCTTATGGAAATAAATCCAAAGCTGTTGGTAAAAACAGTCCGAACTATATCAGTGATAAAAGAAAAGTATATGGACAGTATAACAAGAGCCCTGATAATAGAGCCTTAAATAACTCTCCAATTCATCATAAAACACCTCGTCAGTTAGCTGTATATCCAACAGAGAACCTCTCTGAGGCTCCTCCTACCAACTTTAAGCTAGTCCCATGCTCAAAATGAGGAAGAAATTTCAGCAAAAGTGAGTTTTATCAGTTTTATAATATTTAAAAATTCTAGATAATCTGGCCAGACATGAGTCTGTCTGTAAGAAGAAGGCTACAAGAAACAATAAAGTATTCAATTCTAAAAAGCAAAGAGCTGCTTTATCAGGAGACCCGAATGATGATACAGCTACTTCTTGGAAAGATATGCAGTCTAATAGAAGGTAATGCTTAGTCAGAACCCTGTAGGATGAACAATGCTATGAGCGTAGCCAAGGATTTCAGTACTGTAGAAGAGCCGTCTACTCTAATAAGATACAAGCTTTGTCCAATCTGTAACATCAAACAGACCACAGGCGGATATAACTTGCATTATGAAGAGTGCAACCAAAGAAGATTAAGGATGGGACAAAGAAAACAACGTAGACAGCTAGGCTCAAGGCAGTTCCTTTCTTAGAATATTAAGTATGATTTATTTATTTTCAATTTGACACTTGGCTTGAGGGGTTTTGGGGTTTTGGGGTTTTGGGG